ATCTGGAACGTTGATCGTGTTAGCGGCGTAAACTATTTGTGAGGACATTCGTGAATTGGGAGAAATTTTCTTTGTATAGCCAGACCCAGCCAGGATCGGGCCCACTTTAGTGTGGAGCAGTGTGAATCCCGATTGCAGATTCTCTGCTTTGTCGAAATTGATGAATTGAAAGAAGTGGTTGGCTCCTATTAATATATCCGGTTGCTTCCATTCACAACAAATTTATGGTGCCACGAGCCGGGAACATGTCATCCATCATCATCAGAACCGCAGACCAAACAAAACGAAGATTGTGTGAAGTCCTCAACGAAATCAAGCGTCTGAACTTGGATTCGGTCGACCAAATGACAACAACCGACGAAACAATCCGTCTTCATCAGGAACGGAGAAGGATCACCCAAGAAAAATCATGCATATCCAAATAACATAGAGGCGTTGGAATCGGTCAATACAGAGTGGAAACAATTCATCCAGCAGATTTCAGTCTCAACCAAAAAAAAGAAGAAGAAGATCGATTTCAGATAAACGACGATGAATCAGGTATTACCAACTTAATTTTACAAGCAAAACAAACTGTAGTCATTTTAAAAATGTATCAAAATGATTCGGAGTTCATATTACAACGGCTAAATCAGTCTATGGTAAGGGAGGAAACAACTCAACCCAAGGAACCCACACAAGCGGGTAAATACCCTACAGTAAATCTCCCACAACTACCACTGCCCACATTCAGTGGGAATCCAAGACGCTGGAGGGAATTTTGGAATAGCTTTGATACAGCTATACATCAACAAGCAATTCCCGAATATCCATAAACTAAACTATCTCATCACATGTCTCAAAGGAACGCCCTCCAAGCTATCAGAGGTTATGACATAACTCCGGAGAATTACAGTATCGTAAGAAATGTCCTCGTCGAAAAGTTTGGGCAGCCTTACGCCATCAAACGAGCCTTGTTCACCAAATTATACTCCATCAAAAAGAACGATAGAGAGTGGAAAGCAACGCTTGAGGCCATTGAGCGAACACTTCGACAATTGGAGGCCATCGGTGAGAATTTAGAGCAGTCCGGTATCGAAGTAGCTGTGGAAGGGAAATTGCCAACTTGGATCCTAGAACAGGTTTACAGAAGAAAGAGGCAGGAATCGTGGTCTGTCACCAAACTCCGAAACTTCCTCACGGAGCTTGCATCTGTGAACGAAGAAGTAGTACAAAGCCAGTCCCTATGGTTTAAAGGGAATAAGGAGAATCAATCTCCAATAAAAGGCAAGCCAAGACCACGACACAATCCCAATGAGATTTCAGCCTTAACAACCTCTGTTTCGGAGAAACCCATCATCAAAGCCCTATCAAGACCTTGTGCACTATGCAACAAGAATCACTGGGATGAAGAGTGCCCCCGGTTGAGTGGTAATTGCCCTTATATAGGATGATTTGAGGGTGGAGAGATAAAGCGATTGATAAAATGGAAGCTAGCAAGAAGGCTATGGGAAAGATAGTTTTTGTAAACGGAATTAGATAACAAATAAGGATTGGAACAGATGTGCATTAGATAATATGACAGATTAGCATGGGAATTTGTTAATACATTACCATCTATGAGTCATTAAGGAATTTGAATTACAATAAAACTTACAATAAATGATTAACATGATTTGCTTAAATATAAATACATTGATTTAAATTTGACCTTTTGCTAAATTCGATTGTTCGGTACAAAGATTATTTCTAGTGGAATTTCGAGCTTGTTCTCGACATGCATTATCAAACGTTGTGTATTCTACAACTGGTATTCACTCAATCCAAAGAACTAAGATATAAATTTGGATTCATTTTTGATTTATACCAAATCTCAAACTGGTCCAATTAAAAGTGTATTTTAAGGGTATATATACTTAATTGTTTATACTAGTCGAAGTAAGAGCAACTCAGTTCGTACTAGTTAGAACTAAAATAACCATGTTACACAGATTCTAAATGTGTTCTCTATTGCAAGAATTATACAAAATTATTTTCACGATTTGTGTAAAACTGAGTCAAAGAAATACGGAAGGCAAATTTTATGTTTCGTTGTATGTCAAGTGAATAAAATCCAACCGAATATACGAATTTATTAGAGCAAAAAATTATGATGCAATACCAAAGCACTTTAAGGTGTAGGTATATACGAACGAATTATGGGACTTACCAAAAAGATTCTACGAAGAGCACTAGGGAGGAAACTTTTAAAGAAAAACAATTAATAACTTTGATAGTAGAAAGAAAAGGAATACTTAATATCCAATAGTAACATACGTGGGCGTTAACGTATACATCAAATGATTTCATATCCATTAGATATACATTAACTATAATAGTAACCATTTCCTTAGTAACAATATGCATTAGATTGTTTATAAAAAATATGGGATTAAATTGTTGGTATTAGAATGAAAAATAACTTTCCTGGATTGTAGAAAAGTGAGCCTGAATAACTTAGTAGTGAAAATGCCAGATTAAAGTGAATGAGATCTCGGTGGAAAAATAAGAAGCACTACGATTAAATGGTGGAGAACTACTAATAAATATGTTTTATCCCTTGGTGGAGACAATTCCCAATAAATAGAAAATCATTGAAAACGATCGCCCTAAGAACTAGAACAAAGACTCGCCAAACAGGAGTGTCATAAAAATCAAAGTTTATCATCCAAAGGGGTATCATCCAAAGAAGACTGAATTACAATAAATTTGTTGTGAAAGGTTTGTCTGGTTGATATTTGTATAGTTACAATACAGTAGGAAGATTAATAAACCTTTATTTTTTGAAGACGTATTATTAATAAACCGAGCAATAAAAAGGAGGAATTGAGGTTAGTTAACTAAGGAGTACTCGACAATCATAAATTTTTTTGTTTACTAGAATTCAATTTATATCGTTTAGGATTAGGCGTGTCTAAGATAAAATTCTCATATGAAGAGTTAGAAGTGTTTACGAAGAGGAATTAATAATGGAAGCTAATTTCGATTTTACATAACATCTTATGTGTGAAGAATTGGCGGTGTTTACAAAAGGAAATTAAAATCACATATGTGAAAAAGTTGAAGTGTTTACAAAGAAGAAATTAAATTAAAAACTAATTTTGACATAAAAGCACATGAGTAATAAATCTTAAGAAGATGAATTTAATAAGAGATAATTCATGATACCGTTTACAATTTAGAAAGAAGAAATGATTTATTATATTATGAAATTGGTTAGTAGTTTTCGCGAAATTATAATTCGCGACAAAATTGTATTAATCCATAAGACTGAAGATTGTTTTGAGTATGTTTGAAGAATTATAAAACTTTCAAATTTTATCTCATGCAGGCAATCATTTATCCAACACTCATTTTTCAATTGTAGCTGACCTTATCTTCATTGTCTAGTATTTTTATTGTTAATAAAGATTATGCGCATTTATAAAGATCATCTGATAGACGGCTCTTTTACTTTTTTAGAAAAGTGCGCTCAACTTGCTGCACCTTCCGCTTGCCACTCCTCAGTTCATCTGCCAGAAATTAGCAAAATTGGATAATGAACATGGATTCTCCAAGCCATAGATTTAATTATTCTATGCGATAGATGGCCTTACAGTACTAAATGAACTCAATCTGTTCCAGTTTAGAGCTAGAACTATCCCTTGGTGTCAGAAAACCGAAAAAATTTTTATTACACACTGTTTAGAATAATGCTAATGATTCATTACTATAAACTAATTCGTTATTCCTTTGTTATATCCCACTTTTTTGAAACAATGAATCTTTTATTTAAACCTCAAATAGTACAGCCAGCCGCCCATTTCCTACATCCTTAAAAATCTTCTTTAATCGGTTAATAAAAAGAAGAATCGGTGGCAGTCTTCTTTTTCTTCTCTTCAACAGTAGCAGTTATTCCTTCGCTGTTTCAATTATTCGACTGTATATTATATCGATTCACATTTATAAAAAAAATCATATCTGAATCGATCACCTCGCTCGCAGATACGAAGCAAAAGGTTCAGTTCAAGTTCTACAAACTTAAAGTAACTCAGGTGAACTTAACTAATCTAAATCCTCTTCTGACCAAAAAGTTCTTCAAATTCACGGCACTTGGGATGGCTGCTGAAAGGTTAATGAAATGAAATCATTTTGACCATGGACACATTCTATCTAACCCTTCTGTTTAGACTATTTGGCGTAACAGATCTTACTAGAAACATACGCCACCTCCACCACAGCTCGAAACCATGGTCCTATGATATCCATATCGTAATTAGTGATAGAAAGCATAGGAAGCATACAAGTCATTTCTCGACGTTCAATAAAACGCCCAATGAATTGATATTTTTACATACATCACGCTTTTACAGTTTGCTGAAAAGAAAAATAATAAAAGGAAGTAAAAAACCCAATTAAAATCTTTCTCGAATTTCACCAAATCTTTTTTGAGATGTCTTTTATCACTGATATCGCGAGTGGAAACAAAGAAACAGTAATTCCCTTTGTTTAGTCACACACATGTGTGCATGTTCGAGTCCTGAACGCGGTATTTCTTGTGATTTTATAATGAATCTGTGCTACTCCACTATTAAAGCGTACGGTTTTATTATCCATCAAATTCGTTTTGTGAAATCCTTGAGCTACATTGGTTGGTGATGATATGCAATATAATTTGTGCACGCTTTTATTATCGGTATAATTAAATTGTCTTATTGAAATCTAAGCTTATGTTGTTGTATTAACCATTTTATTGAATAAGCTGTGTAATAAAGTTTTAGTTGTTGTAGTTTGAGATATCGAAAACCAAAGATAGAAAGAATACCCTCAGTCTTTATCTCTGTTAAAAAGAAATGGCGACATTTTTACCGCAGATATAAAGTGCGACGCAAACAAATTATTTCTTCCGTTATGAACCACTTTGGCATTCTTGAAAAAAACTTCCATAAGACTAATTCATTCAATCAAAAAAAAAAGAAAAGAAAAGAAACGGTTTAATTTGTTTATTCTAAAAATCCAACAGTATTGGCCGGTTGAATATGTTGTTTCTGTCTGCAAAACAACCATTTGATGCCATGAATTACAGCATTTTGAAGATCTTTTTGCCGATATATGAATAACAGTACCATATTAAAGGAATTCAAGAGTGGTAAATACACGCAAAGCATCACAATAATCGGTGACCTTTTAGAAGCATCCAACACGTAAACGCATTTCACCATTGATGGTAACACAACAAGAACTGTAAGAACATGTAAATACAAGTTGGAAAATAAAAAGTGATAAAAGTACAGCAAATCTTATTGCGAAAAGGATTCATTTGTGATCAATCCTGTATTTCAATGATTCTTTTGACATTATAATTTGCTTCCTACCGGATTCCCTGTATAAAACTTTAACTAAAATTATAATAACTTCAGTTGCATCATTTATTATTATGCAAGAAACATACAAAATGTAAAACAACAAGAAATCAGTGCTGTATGAGTATATCGCTTTTGATTCTTGATAAATTGTGTCAAATCGCGATTGCATGAATTCTTTGAAAGAAACTGAGCTCCAAACCTTCTAAAAAATAGCACAAATGTGACTAAAATTTAATTTCTATTTAAATTTCACTTTGTTGACATAAAGCAACACCCAGCAATGCTCATAAAATTCGTTTGAATCAAATTGCACTGAATTGCAAAATCAATTGAAGCCAAATATAGCTATAAAAGCTAAATAGGAGTGTGTCGGTATATAACTATTGGGAGCTGTTATAATTATTATATTCAATTATATGATACTAAATAATTGTAAATGCATATTGATAAATTATATATTTTTATATTCATTTTAATAATAGAACAACAAAATAACCATTATGACAATACTAAATAATGAAGCAATGGAACTCATTAATGTCAGAGTGACATAAAAATAAGAGCTGTAGACACTGTGCATCCTGTAACGATCATTTTCATCAGATTTTAAAGACTAAGAATGTTTATTTCGCAATGTTTATGCTTTATCAATTTTAATGAAATACTTTGATCAAAGCAAAATCATTAAATATGTAACTACTAACTGATAAAACAGGAAAAAAGCATGAAGTGATAAGTTTGATTATTGTAACTCACATGCAAAAATGCGATATATATCGCTTCGGTTCAATTAAACTTGCGACAACGGTAAAAATCACTGCAATGGCGGTGATTGCATATTGTATGGTAATTAATGCAAAGATTAATCGTTTACTATGAATATAGTAATACATTGGGAATGCAACGACACAAAATCTTTCCACACTATTCATTAGTAAACTCCAACCATTTAGAAAAGACATTGATAAAAAAAAGATCGCCACCTGAAATTTCACTAACTGTTGAATTCATTTTGCTGCTAATTACTTACTCTTATTGACACAATGCAGTAATGTTATTATTGATTAAAATACAACAGATTTAATCGGATTCTTTTCTTATTTAGCTTCCAACATTTTGTTACTTACAAATTTATTACTATAACAAATAATGTTAAGAAAGGCGAATAATTTTGGAAAATTTTGCAAAAAATAAACGAACACTAAGCACGCAGTCATAATGAACAATAAATTGTTCTTGAACAACGGAAACAATCCATCGTTTTGCGCCCATTAATATTGCACTCAATCCGGTTAATCCACTGTTAAAAATACAGTTGAGAGAATCAGGTAGGGAAGCCTGAAATGTTTAAATTTGCTCAAATGTTATTTATGCATTGATCTATAGCAAAAATTTGAAATAATAATACTAGAAATAATCTTGATGAGATGAAACATTTGACCTGAGCGCTTTACGTAACATCACAAGCAGGAAGATCGGTGTGTTAACCAATACTAGCATTGGACCAATAATCAAATAACCGTATATATGCAAATTATGGCTCAAATGTGATAGCATTGATGTATTGATATTCGTATCATTCAGTAAATCATCAAATCCTGTTCTGTTTTCAGTAATAATCATTGAAATATGTGGAAAAATAAGTAAGAAATAAAATAATTAGCAGAGTCAATGCAGCGTCGTTCAGTGTCGTATGACTTTCGGTGATGAGATGCAAAACAAATGATGCTCCGAGAATAATTAAACATTGCTAATGCTAATGAATGTAGCATATTTAACGTATAAAATAATATTCATTAAAATGTGAGCTTAGTTGCCAAAATTTAAATTCCATTGAAGCACGTTGAGAAATAATTGTGCATATTTCAAAAGGGAAAGAAAAATTTTTTAAATACAAAACTTATTAATCTAAATATGATAATCAAAATTTAACTATTAATTTGGATGGCACAATTATCCGTTACAAATTAATGCAAAGCATGATGATTGTACCTGAAAATATTTATGAAAATTCCGCATATTTATTAATAAGTAATCATTTTCTAATGGCAATTTGTAACAAATTATTCCAGTATTATTCGATCAATAATTAAATATTAATACCATTTAAATTTCTCAAGTGTCGATAGCGAATTAATAACATCATCCAAAAACTTGTCTCTCATTAATCTGTCTCGTCATACTTAGTTAGTTTGATTAATTGTTTTATCTAACATAATTTACTATTTAACATTGAATATAACACATTATGTTTAACAAAGATATTAAAATTGGTGCACAAAAATTATTGAACAATTAGTATATCCTTAACAAAAAAAAAGTAATAAAATAGCTTGTCAGTAGTGTTAATCTCAATTGATGTTATCGAAAAACCAAATTTCATAATGACTAAATGTTCTCAAGCAAAATATTCATATTAAACGTTTCCTGCCTTTCCACTATTAATTTTGCTAGTTACATTTCAATCCTTTGTTTCTCCACTCGTAAAATTTAGCGTCTCATAAGTTCCTTACAAAGGAATGAAATCAAACCAATTGGATAGGGACTCTCGTGATCCACTCTGGTTAAATACAGATAACTATGCAGAAAGAGTTGATTTAATCAATTTCATTTCATTCTTTTTCATAATAAAGAAATTGCTCTATCGTTCTGCCTTTCAAGACAAGCAGTAGTCAGCTTCCAACTTAGTATTAGTATTACTTCTAATCGTCAATTATCGAAAAGAACGTTTCCCAGATTTGTCATAATTTCCTCTCTCTCCAACAAGTATCGGGGATCTTCCCAGTATTTTAGCTAATAAAAATAGCATTAGGTGATTTTATTATTCTATCTGATAATTTAGGCATTTTGATTCAGATCAGAATAATCGTCTTTTCAACTCAACTTTTTGACAGGCATCGTATTTTGAATTCTAGTTTAATTTTTTATCCTTGCTAGTTTCCAATTACACATGAATTTATAAGGTTACCAATAACTGTGAAAAGTCTTTCAAAGGCTGTGATAACATTACTATATTTCATTAAAGATATTGTACTAATGTTTCGAGATTTAAATCCCGAAGTGATTATCCTAAGCAAATACTAAATAAAATACCACAAGTGTCAAGGGTCATTTGGTGTATTAGCAAGTAAGCTTTTTGTTGAAAAGAATATAAGGTGGAAAACAGATATAATAAATTCCAAAGTGAAATTTAATGTACGAGAAAGAAAGCATTGGAAAATATATAAAGAAAATTGGTTGAAAAATAATTAATATAGTGCGAAATTTACCAGTAAGTTGAATAGAAGAGGAAAAGACAGAAAAGTTGTAAGAAAGACGAAAAGATGTTGATATATTCGTTTCATTAGTGTTGCATTATACTTAAGCAGTCAAATACAATAACACAGAAATTACCGCAACTTAATTGCTAGTCAAATTAAAGTTTCAGTAGATTTCGTTGTTGCATAAAATTCATGCAAGTTTTTTATCTAAATTAAGATTTTTTTTTTTTTAAAAAATCCAAATTTTGATTCTTCGTTTTTTTGGCTTGAAAATGCACTAAAGAAAAAATCGTAGAATTTTCACAGAATGACAGTTGAAAAACAATAGCAGATTAAATAATTTCAATTTCCATGAATAAATTTCTTGGGATATGAAAATCCTTTTGAAATGTAAATGGACTGGTAAATGGTAAATGAAACTTAATAATTTTACTTTCACTTAAAAGATGTTACGATATGTTTATCGTACATAACAATTAACCTTTCAAATAAACAAAATTTTCAAAATTTATAACGTTGCTATTCATTTCAATGATTTTTATTGCATAATTTATAAAATGATTATGAATGTTGGATTTATAAGCGTTTCAACTCATATTGAAGTTTAACACTTATTACTTTCAAAACTTTCATTTCGGAATTATAATAGCTTTCAATGCGGTAATAATTTCGAGGCATAAATGAAATGATTAATCGTTTCGTTTCTTTTGAATAATTTTCTGTTATTATTGTGTTTCCTCATTATATTCAAATTAATGAGCTTCTTAATCCATCAACAATTGTAATCTTTCAGGAATTCCAGTACTGTCTCATATTGCAAAACTTTACTTTTCATTCTTCTAATGAAATACCTTATGATTGTGATTCTTTTATTTATAGTTCTCACGAATTGTAATCTGGTGTAATCATTCCTTTCTGATACGCTGCTTAAAGGTTAATTTTCTTTAATAATTTTTGAGAAATTTTAGTACTCTTACTGTTTTCTTATCACTTTGTCAAAAAACTGAATGTTTTGCCTCCAGGAGATTGATTCGATTTGTATTGATGATTTCTTGTGGTTGTTCTTGCTACTATATTCTTATCTTCGTTATCTTCTTCCATGTGGAACGTAGTATTGAAAATGAAAACAATTCTGAAATCATTTTCTTATCCATGTGATCAAATCCTGCAAAGAATAATCTTATTAGACCAATCAATGGTTCAACTTCAAGCAAGGTCTCTGTATTTGTGTTCGCTTGTTTATAGCTATGCAATTTCGCCATATGACATTTAGAGAAAAATATTTTATTAATTTTAATAGGATTGAAATTGCTTTTGATCAAATGCACTGCACATAAGTTGACAATTACCACTAAATTTACATTTTAATTGGATTTGTTTGATGACAAACATTTTCAAGCAAATTTGATGAGAATTAATTTGTAACTGCTTTGGTATGTCATTCCACTAATGGTGCTAATCGGATTTACAAAGAGTAACGAATGCGTATTTTTGATGGGCGTATACTACTGCAGCATATGCCACTGTAATGCATCGGTGAAAACATGAAAGGTAATTTGTTGTGATAAATCGATTTGAATCGCGGGATTTGCTTAATATCATTTGGGGTTTTACCTGCAAGATTGCACCAGGTTTCAATCAATTGATTGTTTTGCATTGATCCCAATGTCATACGACACTGAAGAGTTCATTGGAGAAATATCTTGAACGGTTACATATCAATGAATGCTACTGAATCCAACAGGATCGATACTGTGAAAGATGCAAGTAGAATACATCTTTTTGTTATTGTTTATTGGTCCATGCTAGTATTATTTGGATATGATCCTTGTTGTGATTCCACATAATCCCTCAATTTTCATTCATTTGACTATTCGTGCTCGGTCCAAATTGGGTAGTTGATCATTGAATGTCTAACATTTGAGAAATTCATTTCACGTTCATTGACGCATCCTTGCAAATTGTTTTTTCTTCATATTTATTCAAGGCTTCCTCTTCATGGGAGCTGATAAGATGATATTGTCGTTCAAGAACATTCTTGTTGATTTCACGTGCAGTTTCATTTTCATAATGTTCCAAATGATAATTGAGAGTTGCTGATAATAAAAGGGTATATATCACTCCAAAGGGGACCCTTTTGAATCGATAGCATATTAAATTGTCTATGTCTGTTTCTGAATATCTTTTACCAATAGAAAGCGTGTGCAGCCCGTTCCGTTGGCAGCAACTCTAATTGTAGGACTTTTCGACGTCAGCTAAATGATGATTTTCATTGTTCTTAGTCGAATTAATATTCCAGCTAAATCGGGAAGGGTGATACTCGATACAAGACATCGTTTAAGCTTTTGCCTCTGATTGAGCGGAAGCGTCATAAACTATTCTGACCTTTGTCGTGGTGTTATCTGATTTTACCACTTCATGATAAGTAATGGATAATACCGATTTTGTGAAATGAGTTACAATTTCGATGACATTGGATCTTAACTGTTCATTGATTGTTTCATTGTATGTGGTAAGTAGATGTTGGTTTAATGAAGTCGCTTGATTAAAATTGTAAGCGTAAACATAATTCGAAATTGTCGCTTAATTTGGAACTGGTGTCTTTCATGGCCATGCGACCTGGTATCGTCCGTCGGATTTTCTAATCGTTTGCTTAATTGTTTTAGGCTTCTTCATCGTCATTGTTTTGGGTTTGTCTTGTATGCCTATTAGTTACAGTTTCCAGAATTGATCTAAATATGGAACGTTGATCATATTAGCGGCGTAAACTATTTGTAAGGACATTCACAATTGGGAGAAATTTTCTTTGTTTAGCCAGAAGCTAGGATTTGGCCCACTTTAGTGTGGACAGTGTGAATTCAAATTGCAGATTCTAATCTCATTTATCTAAATTGATGAATTGAAAGAAGTTTCTTTCAAATTATATATCCGATTGACACAATTTATCTGTCAAAAGCGATTGTTGGACTTCCTTGTTGTTTCGTATGTTTCTTGCACTTAAATTGACAACTGAAGTTTTATTTGTTAAATTTTCCACGGGTTCGGTTCGAAGCAACACTGTCACGGTCCTTTACATTTTTATCACAATTGAATTCTTTTCGCAATAAGTGTTCTGTACTTTTTCCGAATTAAGCGATGTTTAATTTCTTCATCTGTTGTGTTAATCATTGGTTGTTTGGCTAAGATCTTTGAAAGGAACCGATTATTGTGATGCAACGTGAATACCACTAAATTCCTTTAATTGGTATTTATTCATATTGGGCAAAAAGATTTCATCTGCTTGCATAAGATGGATGTTTTGTCACGAAACTTCTATTTTTCGACTATTATATTTGTCGTGGTAAACAAACTCTGGATCCTCTG